AGCAATTAAAAAACTGTAAAACAAAAAATCTGAAAAATTTAAACGCCATTTTCTCAGTTGATTGTTTTTTGAGTTATGGTGGTCTTGTACTCATAGTGCGAATTCTTTAGCGAGGTTTTTCTCGTTTACGGTGAATTAAATATTTAGCTGTCTAATTAGGGTCGCAGCAGGTACTTGGGATAATCCGATTAAATAATAATCATAAGAATTTGTTAGTAGCACTGACCTTGCTAAATCTATTATAAATAGGTAGGTATATTTATCCCTATTTCCAAATAATGATTGAAATAAATAAGTATATATATGGGCTATTTGTTTTATTTATTTTAGTTGTGTATTTTTGATTTGTGTTCGTAAGTTTAATTTGAGTGTTTATTATATTTCCAGTATATTTTTATTATTTTTCGTTAATTTTACATTTCCTGTGTAGTTTTTTTGTGTATTAAATTTGAGTGGTAAGTACCTATTACTATTATTAAACTATAATTTAAATTCATTATATAAAAAAATATAATTTGTGGATTGAAGTCTCCAAAAAAATCCATCGAAATCAGGTGTTAGGTCATTTTAACTTTATACCGAGTTCCCCTGAAAATTTTGGATGGCTTCATTTTTGGTAAAATTTAATATGGAATCTTGAATTTTTGGGGGTGAGGCAGTGCATCGAGGCAAGAAATTTCACATTCTTTTCATACATAGCTCCCTTGATTTTTCCTAGCAAATAAAATATTTTGCCAAAATTTTAAATTAAAATATTCTAAAAGATAATCTTTTTAATTTTTTAATATGGATGTACTTAAAAAAGTGTGCTCTTTCATAATACTTTACAATAAATGCAGGATACCATTGAAAATGTTGAGATAAGGGTAGGTTGATGCAAAGGGTGATAAAAAATATGTGGAAGTACGATCCCTATGCACTGCTTCATATCTTAATAATTTAAAATTTAAGTTTAAACAGAAATAAACTAAACCGAAGGGCGGTAGGGGTAAATATTTTTGTTGAATAAACACATGTCCGAAATACAGGGAATTTTAACCAAAAGTTAGAGCGTCTATTATATATTTACAATGTTGATACTTGTTTTGAATAAAGCAACTATAAATAAAACTATTGTCTCTATATATTTTTGCGAATCTCTTTCCGCTTTCTGATAAACAAATAATATCTAAACTTTTGCATACTTGTCTCTGAAGCAACTAAAAATACAACTCAAAACGAAAGGCGCTATACAACAAAAAAAATAAAAGAGTATTTTATAACGTTTTATCAAAACCATTATAAAAATTTAAGCAGAAATCTAATAAAATTATATAATAACGTTGGATATATGCTAAAAGGTCCAAAAGATAATTTATTAAAATAGGTAACAACAAACTTTCATTTCATTGAAATTAATTAAAATGTTTTTAGATATTCATTAAAATTTGAATTTTATTTAAAACTTTTATCTTAGAAACGAAGAGTTTTCGGACATACATTTATCGAACATAAATTGTATATTTTAACGTCCCCTACCACCCTAAAAGATTGTCGGCATATATATGTATATTAGAGTGATCCATTTAAAATGAACATTTTTTTTGTTTCGCTCACACATGAAAATTTTGTTCCTTTTATCGAAAAAAATTTGAGCCCGTAATTTTGATTTTAAATGGTTCCTTTCGATCGATGTATATTTCCCATTTAAATAACATATAAACCATGATTTTTAAAATTTAAATTAATATAGCTCCGTTTGATTTCATGGTAATCCATTGCGATTAGTCAGAATTTGTAGTATATTAGTGACACTTTGAAAGTGCCCACTAACATTTTTTTGTACTTGAACCCGTCTCATCGGTGTCGGCTCTGAAAGTCAAATTTTTTCAAATATTGTTATATTTTCATTCTTATCAACGAAACAGTTGAAGTTATAAAAAAATTGTCAAAAAAACAATTTGTGGGAAATTAAATTTTCTACAAAAATACCCCTGTATGGATTTTCTGAGGTGCGTAGTCCGAAAGGTATAAAAATCTAAAAAAGAAAAATATGAAATTTTAATTTTTATTGTATGATTTTTCAACTTACTATTACCAAGTGAGAATTTGAAATCATTTGCCGGAATATTTTTTCATCTTTCAATATTTTTATATTTGCACGAAAATAAAATTATTTAAATGTGTTTTTAGCGTTAAATAAAAATAATAGTAGCATTTTCTTTTTTCAATTCATAAAGTTTTTTTTTTAGATTCAAGGACAGTTTAATATTTGTAGAAAAGATATGTGTTTTTTTATAGTTTACATAAACGACGAACAACCCCTACATATAGAAGTCATTTTAAGAGACCAACATTTTTGGCAGAATAATGTTTTACCCAAATTACTAAATTTTCATAATCAGTATGTAATGCCAGAGATTGTGTACGGAAATATTCCAAAACGACTGAAAGCCAGAGAGGCCATTTGAGAAGAATATTTTGTTATTTATTTACATATTTATTGCATTAAATAAAGCTTTTACTGGATAATTAGAAATTTTTCATTTTATCCTTAATAAAAAACATTTTTGAAGAGTAAATGAAAGAGTCATGAGTGTTATTTTAACTTATTTTTTTTTTTTGAAACCATGAACTGGAGCAAAAAGATATGGGTGTCACTGATAGCCTAATAAATATATTATTACATTACTGGTCTTCAAAGTAGCATCACTTTATTGCATTGATGAATATTTCTCTCATGATAATTCACATATTGAATACCCAACTCATGCCCATTTTGCCGAATTCACACTATTTACAAAAAAAAAACTCAGCATATATTAAAAAAATTACATTACCAATTTTTTTTACAAATTTTTGTTTTTTCTCGTATAGAGACATTTATTTTAAATATTGGTTAATTTAGAATTTAATTTTAGACAAAGCACCAAATTTTATTAAAAATCCGTCTTAATAAGAAAACGTTAAAAAATGAGTCTCCCTGTATATATAATTTATATTTGTGTAAATTGTAAATAACCATAATAATATAGTTTTGTCTAAATTCAAGACAATTTTAAAATATGGCAACACGGCGTCGAAGCTTTCGCTACTTTTGCTCCATCGGACATCTATAATTTAGGTCCTGAACTAAAAATTCAACATGGACGCAGTGAAATTATCAATTTTAGATGAAATCGTATTTTGTACAGAACTTAAAAAGTACGCAACAATTTGGCAAGAATATTCAAAAAAATATGTAGAATGCTGTAAAGTTTTTTGAACTACATCTGTGACTATCTCTTTTTTATATTTTTTAATAGTATTTAATAAATAGCAGGACAAATGAAAATGTCTCATTTCAATCATTAAACATTTTTCTATAAGCTGCCAAAGTTTCACTAAAATCCATTCAGTGAAAAATAAGTTCTGTACAAAATCGTAAACCTCTGTTTTGACCACGTAAAATACACTGAAATGGCGGCCTTAATGTTAGCGGGTAAATAGTTGTAAATATAATGATGTAGAAGGGAACAGACGTTGTCACTTCCTTTTTTCCCTTTATTTCTCTATATGCATAAAATACACTTTGTTGATTAGAGAGCACTTGCAAATTAACAAGTACAATGATAGCTGCCGGCTATAATAGACATCATTGGTTGAGATGTTAGGGATGGGCAAATTTTTTGAGTAATCCATACAAATTTTTTCCAAGTCTGCTTGTTGTCTTGCGGATTTCTTGGATGCCCTTTTTCTGTCATAAAATGTAGTAGCTTTAGTAAGGTGTAATTTCTTTTCTGTCTCAAGTTTTTTCAGTTCACTCAAAACCACTTTCTTGCCATTTTCGTTTGCTTTAGACAATTTTGATCCAAGATTTTTTACGTCCACTTGAGAGCAAGTGTCTGAGCGTGGGTAACCGAAGCTAATATTGTAGCAGTTGCATGATTTTTATCCCTGGATTAATTTTAAATAAGTCGTACATTTTAGAAACATTGAGTTTTTCAGAAAGGTATATTTTATTACGTTTAGCGAGGCTGTAATGGCTAGATCTGCCTTTAAATGATGAAATATGATTACATACCCTACTGATTGTAGTCTCTGTAAATTTATGTGGTCTGGTTCGTATCTTCTCCTGCCATCCCTGATGGCACTCCCCCCTTGTTTCAAACTAGTCTGAATTGTCTGTACTCCATGAAAATATATAAATGCTTTGTAACATACCTGAATGTCCATTATATTCTCATTCTCTCCTGCCTTGCATCTTACTCTGTATATGAACTGTCGTTGAACTTGGGTACTTTGACTTCAGCAAGTCTGTATCTTCACCTTTGAGGTAGGAGTTCAATTCGTCGAAGGTTTCAAATTTATTAAAAATTTTAATAATTTCTTTTTTATTACCGTCACTTATCACAAAGAAACACTTGTGACGTTTTCACTGACAATTAGGCCCAGTTTCATGGCTATGCACTCGTAATTTCTTCGCAACATCCACCATTCTTCCATGTCTTTTACGTTTTTTTTTTGTTTTTTTCTCCATAGCACAAGAATATTAATTACTATTACCGACACTACTAATTACTCAAACTTTAAAAGTTCACTTTAAAAGTTAAAAAATATTATGTATAAAAATTAGTTTGCCAAAAATGGACTTTCATTGTTTTTCCCGTGTGCTTTTCATATACATGCAAACAAAATAATTGAAAAAAATATTTTGGACAATTACCGAAAGTTCCATCCATATAAAATTTTGTTTAAGCACACATAAACTCTATTGTTGCTCTTACAAGAAAAAACAAATATTTATTCGGTGGGATCGTTGACCAATAAAAATTGTTCGTCCTTAATTGTTTTTATATCTAATAAATTTTAAAGTATATTAAACGTCTGCAGAAGATTTTGGCAATTTGGGGAATAATTTACGCTTTTCTCTTCCAAAGTTATTTTGAATATATTTCATGTCTTTACTTGTAAGAGTATCCAAACACTGATCTGTAATAAAACGAAAATGTAGTCATTTAATAACAAACACTATTTTTTAGGTATTTCTTTGACTGTTGTGACGGAATATTTTTAAATTATACTTGGAGTGAAAAGACCTTAGAAAAAACAGCTCTTGCTGCCAAATACAGAAGCCATGATGTATTTGTAGGCGTTGATGTATTTGGAAGAAATATGTTTGGTGGTGGTAAATTTCATACTGACAAGGTAAGAAAATTAACAAAATAAAAAAAAAATATGGATTTTACTTACACATTTCTGACTATTTATTCAGGCTGTAGAAGTGGCAGTTCGCCTAAATTTGTCAGTAGCGATTTTTGCACCAGGTTGGACACACGAAACTTTAAATAAGTCTGAAAAGTTTTTTGAAAGTTTTTATAACAGAGATTTGGCTTTCTGGCGAAGTCTATGGCCATATATGTACACTCATCCTATAACGACATATTTTACAACACATTTTTACGTTGGATTAGATGAAGTAAGTATTCCTTATTAACATTTTTTTTTGTATTCATTGGGGTCTATTCTGTAACAATTCTTTTATATTTAACGGGCTTTAAAAATATTTTATTCTTTACTTCTGTCATTATTTAAACGAATCTTTAAAATACATTAGAGGACTATCTTAAAGAAATCTGTTTAAATAATGACAGAAGTAAATTAACGAATACGAACATATGTTTAAAGGCCGACAATATTTTTAAAGGCCGTTAAATAGAATTTTTGCAGAATAGACCCCATTGTAATTTGAAAAGTTAAAAGTCTTCAAATAATGAAATATGTGTTAGTTATGAAAATTTAACGTAATTAATTTTTATAATATTTTAGGATTGTTACAATTTATTTAGTCAGGGTATTCAACTATCAAAATGTTTATATCCATCGAATTTACCCCTCATTCCTGAACATACCACCTTAATGTTACCATATAAATGTAGTTGCATCCAAGGATCTCTAATAGGTGGGTTCGACATTTTTTTAAATCTTATGAAAGACATTTTAGAGGGGAATTGACAACCAAAATAGGGCAGTCATTTCAGTAGTTATAGTAATTTGTATACAATAGACCTTTTTATCATGTGATGAGCGCAAGCGCAGCCACCATGTTGAAATAGCGGTAATTCAAAAGTTTCGTACTGTTTTGATCGACAATGGCTGGGAAAGCAATATTATCTCTACAGAAAAATTAATCATTAGAAAAAATCGTTGATGGTGATAACTTTTTTATAACTCTGTGGAAGCGCATAGTTGTGAGCGGTTGAAAAGGTGGTTGAAGTGTCTTGGACGTTTGTTACAAAGGAACAAAGTGGATTGATTGAGAAGTTAGGTGTATCAATACCTCTTTACTATGTAAAAAATTAATGAAAACAAATAATTATAACTATTCTAATTAATTATGCCAACCAACTATTAGTACTTGCAAAAACACTTTAATTAACATGAAAGTTATCAAGAGTATAATTAATAAAATAAATTATATAATATTTTGAGGATCAACATGACATTTTTAATCATATTACTGTGTACACCAAAGTAGTATTTAATATTAAAAAAATATTGTTTAACACCAGATAAGAATTTTCTTCTGTTGGACCACTTTCTCCATGAAAATGCAGTGAACAAATATAAGTATCTTTAGTAACATCATTCATCCATTGAAAATCGTTGTCACTTCGACCACATTTTTTCACACCTAATGCACATTTTGAACATGTTTTAATATGGATTTTGCCTGATAATTTTTTACGATATTGCAGCCACGGCTTTGGAAAATTTATAAAATATGTATTACCTTTGAATGATTTATACCGTGTGTCACTTTTACATAACAACACCGTTTCCTTGTTCCCTTCCGCACAGATAACATAATTATAATTAATTAAAAAAATGTATTTTTCAATTAAGACACTAAACTTATTATTCCTTTACTTTTTCTTTCTTTTTTTAAATAAATATAGGTACTTAAATTAATATTTATCGATTATAATTTTTTTCACGTGGGCATTTTAACATGCTTGTTTACAAAGACAATACGAAAAAGATGGCTGATACTGACGCATGCGCACAAAAAAATTTTTGTGATGAAAAGGTCTATGCCGTTCAGTTTTTATTTAAATCGAGTTGGCCATGGAAATTTGACACATTTCAAATATTTTTTATATGATATGAAAAAACTCGGAACTTCATTATAAATATAAATGTCATTAGATTGGCAGGAAAAATCATATTATTGATAATTTAAATGCTTTGCTCTGTGACGTAATCCCTTTTAAACGATTAGGTTCTGCCCAATAGACCTATTCGGGATTCAAGCTAAGTGATACGCCCTCTGGACGAAATTTGTAAAAGTAGGACTTAGTTCAGTGTTGCCAGGAGTAGCGGAATATTGATTGGTACTCATTGCCTACGACTATTATAGGGACCGTGCGTGAAATATAGAGGCAGCACTATTGCCGAAGTTAGCCCTCTCTAGTGTTTAATTTTAGAATTAAATGGGGTAAACATTGCAAGTAAATAATAAAGGATATTTTTTAAAATATTAAATATAGTTAAAAATAGATACCGGCCCGTACCAAACAATCGTGTACATGGTCAAAATGACGTAAAATGTGAAACATTATTAAAATCTGGACAAGTATATACATTTTAACCAAAAAGATTTAAATAGCTATGTGACAATAAATTGTAAAGTTGTACCTTAAACAAGTGTATCCAATGTCAAAATATCGGTATTTAGCAACACTGAATTTAAAAGTATTACAATACCATTTAAAAAATGTAAATTAATAAAAAAATTGATAATAATAAAAATAAATCTTTATGTTAGTCGAAATGTCATTCATCTACTGACGTTTATGAGATGTCCAATGATACACATTATAGATTGCTCACCAATCTATAAAAAAATCATGAAAAGCGGGTTGCAATGTGCCTTTCCTAGTGCTCACTAAAATAGAGCCGTTCTAGCCCAAATGTGTTTTAAAATAAAATTTCAGCATTTTAATCTTTAGAAAAAGAAAATAAATAAAGTTTTACTTCAAGACATGTTATTATGTATTTGGAAAATTGAGTTTCCATGTAGTTAAATAATATTAAGAGATCTAAACAATTTTTATAACAGATGGATATAAATAATTTTTTCTACGTCCATGCAAAAAACAAAACTTTGTTGAACTATATTTAGTGAAAAAAGTGGGTCTTTATTGCACTAGTGCAATAAAAATTTTATTGCACTCATCTGTCATTTTACTACAGCGTTTTATGATCGTGACAAACATAAATATTCAAATCAACGCCAAATATTTAGTCCATTTTCATTTTCTGTGTTACGTTTTAAAAACAATTGCATATTTTATATTATTTTCAATAATTTAATAAATAAATTAATAAAAAAATGTATTTTATTAAAAATGTCATTACAAATTATGAACACAAACGTAAATAAATGCCTCAAACAAAGGTACACTATCACTGATACTATGATTTGGATAATACAACTGCAGTCCTATAAAATTTTTTTTTGGTTTTTGCATGAACGTAGAAAAAATATTGTATGCAACTCGTGCAAAAAGTGTTGCATTCGACAATTTCACGTCGCGTGCAATAAACCTTTTTGCACTTGTTGCATAAATAACTATTAGACTACTCTCATTTCAGAAATAATACTATATAAAATACATAATTGCAATATGTAATACAATTTTGAAAAGGTAATGTAAACAACTTTGAGATGAGGTATAAACAACTTTGGTAAGAGTTGTAATTGGACACTTATCTATTATTCTGAATATTATTTAATGGTAATGTCACTAAAAATTTTTTACAAAAAATCATGGATTTTTAATATTTTAAAGTTTGTTGCAATCTCTTTTGACAGTAATTGCAATGTGTTATTTATGATTTGTTTATTTTAATAATAAATGAGAAATAGTTAATAAATTGTAAAGAGGGCCATGATATGTTTGTCAAATTATACATTCTCATTTCATAATAAACATTCTACATTGGTTTTAATCAACAGAATAAACCATTAATTATCTGTAAAATTATATTTATATAAAATGTTCATTTAAATATGTAAAAATCTTAGTGACAAGAAAACACTAAAGATTCTAATTTCTAAACCGGTTCTGTAAATGATTTCTTCACAACTAAGTGCTCAAAATTGATACAAGCTAGATAAAAAGAAAACTGTCTAGTGAAATACGCTTTTCGTCGTCTGATATACATATGGATAAGCAATCTTTGTAATTATGTATATCATTGGGTGTAAGACATTTCTGTGGAAATTTGTAAAATTTCTTTACTATCGAATGAAATCTAGATTTCCAAAGTGATGTGTTTGTACATCCACGGATGCAACAAGTTTTTTATTAATGATATTACGAAAATAATTCGACTTTATTTAATTAATAATTATTAAACAATAAATGCCGTATAAAACATTAATAAATACCCCCCATAAAGTTCACATTTTTGTCACCAGTTATCGTTAAAGTCAAGACGCACGGTCCCTATAATAGCAACATGTGCGTAGGTAAATACAGCTAATCAAACCTTGTGAGTTGAACATTATATTTGTTCTACTGCTGTTACATATTATAAAAAATTAGTCAAAGTGAGAAAATGCTATTTTGTATAATAACCTCAGAAAAAGGTATATTAAAGCTTCTTTCTTTGGAAATAATATTTAATATAGAGGATGTCATATAAGTCTCTAGAAATGCTTATTTCCGAAACCGGATATTTTATAATTTAAACCTAATAAAAGTCATACGTTCGCTAGGGGTGGGCGAGATTATCGAAATAATTTATCAATCATTGAAAATAATCGATTATTTTCAAACCATCTTTTTTTTCGTATTTCCGTTAAAATTTATTGAATAAAATGCCGACTCACCTTTAAATTGATTAAAAAAAAAACCGAGTTATCGAATATTTTAAATAAGGGAGCGTTCAAGTATTACGTAACGAATTTGTGGGAGGGGGGTTTTGTGAAACGTTACGATGCATTACAGGGACGGGAGGGGGGTTTGAACTACGCGTTACGTAACATTATTATTTTTTAACCCTTCAAAGAAGTCGCGTAGAGAGATTCTCTCACGCATTTTTTAAAACGTTTTTTTTTCTCAAAATTTCAAATGGAGTGACATAATTGTGATTTCTAGGTAAAAATAGTCACTTGGAGGTTACGTAACGTTTTACTAGGGGGGGGGGAGGGAGGAGTATAGAAAAACGTTACGGCGCGCTACATGGGGGGAGGGGGGGTTAAACATATCCGAAAATCGCGTTACGTAATACTTGAACGCTCCCTAATCAATTATTATCAAATAATCTATTTTTTTGAGTATTTCCTTTAAAATCGATTATTTGATTATCTTTGAATATCCAAAATAATCGTTTATTCAAAATAATCGCTTAATCGAAAATAATCGATTAATAGAAAATAATCGATTATTCGAAAATAATCGATTAATTGAAAATAATCGATTAATTAAGAAGTCAATTCTCGATAAATCGATTTTCTAAAAAAAAAAAAAAACGAATGATCGATAAACGAATGATGTAATATTTTAAATAATCTATTTTTGTTCTTATTTCCTTTGAAATAGATTATTCAATAATTTTTGAAAAATCGAAAATAATAGATTAATAAAAAATCATTTATTATTAAAAAGCCGATTAACGTTTAAATCGATTTTTCAAAAAATAACCTTATTTTAAATAATCGATTATTATCAAATAATCTATTTATTCGTGTTTCCTTTAAAATCGATTATTTGATTATCTTTGAATATCGAAAATAATCGATTATTCTAAAATAATCGATTAATAGAATATAATCGATTAATTAAGAAGCCGATTCTACGATAAATCGATATTCCAAAAAAAAATAACCAAATTATCGATTATTTTCAAACCTATTTAATTTAAAATTGATTATTTAATTATCTTTTAAAA